GAGGAGGAAAACAAGCGAAGAAGCCCCCATAACGCACCCCCCACACGCACACACCCTGTTCCCCACCCATGCCAGAGCGCAACGCGGGCAGGCGCGTCTCGGGCCTGTCCAGCCGCTCTCCCGTGGGCACCCGGGGATGCGGAACCCTCGCCAGGCTGATGCCCTGAGGTCACGTCCCGCGAGGGGCCGGCGGCGGTGGACGGGCTTTGGGTCTAGGCCTGGGACGCCGAGTCGCGGACCCCCAGGGTCCCCACCTGTGCCAGCGGCCCCTCGGGGGCGGGGGAAGGGGCAGGTGACGTCACGCGCGGTCCCGGGGTGCCCGCGGCGGTGGCCACAGCCCGGCCGCGTGACCCGCGCGCGCCAATGGCCGGGCGATCTCCGGGGCGACGCGGAGGGTCCGCGCTCTGCCGCCACTGCGCCCCCGCCCCGAGTCCGCACTGCAGAGAGTGGTGGCGAGCAGGCGCCGGCGCGCCGGCCCACGTGCCGCGCAGACAGAGGGACGGGCCGGGCAGAGGAAGGAAGAGAGGGAGTGAGAGAGCGCCCCGGGCAAAAGGCGCGCACGACCCGGCCGCCGCTCCGCGCAGCCCCTGCGCGCCTCCCGCGGGGACCTCCACCAGGAAGGACCCCCACCCGAGGAAGGTACCAGACCCGGGGAGGGTGCGGGCTTGGCCCCCGGGAAACCCCGCCGCCCTCCGCCCGCCCCAGCGGGACTGCGGCAGCCCGCGGGGGCAGGGGGACCGGCTGGGGAGGGGGCCGTGGCCCCTGCGGGCCGGTGGAAGGCGGGGCGGGGCTCGAGCCTGGGCTGCAGAGGCGCCGCCCGGGGGAGGAGGGTCACCTGGGGGTGGGAGGGGGAGTGTCGGCATTAACCTGGCTCTCGCCCCGTTCGTATTCACAGGCTGTGGAGACCTGGGCAGTTCTCTCTGAGTCCTAGGCTCCCGCCCCAATTCATTCTCCCCCACCCGCCCAGTACCATCCTGGTCTGCTACGGAACCGTTTCCTGCCCCTAGTATTAGCCCCGCGCAGGCGGAAATTGCGCGCGATGGCGGTGACGATGCTGCAGGACTGGTGCAGGTGGATGGGCGTCAGCGCTCGAAGGGGTCTGCTCATTCTGGGCATCCCAGAGGACTGCGATGAAGCCGAACTCCAAGAGTCCCTGGAGGCCGCCCTGTGGCCCATGGGCCACTTTACTGTGCTCGGCAAAGTGTTCCGGGAGGAGGATAATGCCACCGCGGCCCTAGTCGAGCTTGACCGGGAAGTCAACTATGCGTTGGTCCCCAGGGAAATCCCCGGCACTGGGGGTCCCTGGAACGTGGTTTTTGTGCCCCGTTGCTCAGGCGAGGAGTTCCTCAGTCGCGTGTTCCACTTCCTGGAGCAACAGGGGCAGACGGTGGAGAGGGTGGCTGGGGCCCTGGGGCTGGGACTGCGCAGGGTGTGCTGGCTCCGATCGGTCAGTCAGGCAGTCCAGCCCTGGGTGGAGACCATGCGGTACCAGCGCCTGGGCGTGTTTTCCGGGAGGGATCAGCCCGCTCTGGGGGAGGAGTCCTTTGAGGCTTGGCTACACCACACTGCCGACATGCTACATGTGTGGCAGGGGGTCTCGGAAAGGGAGAAGAGGAGGCGGCTGATGGAAGGCCTTCGAGGGACGGCCCTGCAGCTCGTGCACGGACTCCTGGCCGAGAACCCTGCCAGGACCGCGCAGGACTGCCTGGCGGCCCTGACCCAGGTGTTTGGAGACAATGAGTCCCAGGCCACACTCCGGGTGAAGTGTTTAACTGCTCAGCAGCACTCAGGAGAGCGGCTCTCTGCTTTCGTGTTGAGGCTGGAAGTCCTGCTGCAGAAAGCCATTGAGAAGGGGGCCCTGGCCAGAGCCTCAGCTGACCACGTGCGCCTGAGGCAGGTGCTCACCAGGGCCAACCTCACCGAGCCACTGGATGAAGCTCTGAGGAAGCTGAGAACGGTTGGGAGGTCTCCAAGTTTCCTAGAGATGCTGGGGCTTGTTCGGGAGTCTGAGGCATGGGAGGCCAGTCTAGCCAGGAGTGAGAGAGCCCAGGCGGAGGAAGGGGCTGGCGCCCAGGCCAATGCCCAGGCTGATGCCAGAGCCGACGCTAAGGCAGAGGATGATAAAGTGGACGAGAAGGAGCAGGAGCAGCAGGAGCGGGAACGGGAGCGGGAGGAGGAGGACAGTGATGACCGTGATGCTGTCCCTGCAGGCCTAGGTCAGGCACGACCCTCAGAGGCCCCTGGGGGCCCCACCCCTGCCCAGATGGGCGCTGCTTCCAGGGCGGGCCCAGGAGGTCCTGGCTATGAGCCAGAGGGCCTCACCCAGTCAGGAGACCGGGAGGCTGGGGAGCCCCTCGAGGAGGGGCTCAAGCCCATCCCAGACGAGTCAGGAAACGAGGATGGGGCTGGGGGACTGGGCCTCCCCAAGTCCTCCTCAGGCAAATAGGCTCGGAAGGCCCAAGGGCCCCCTCTCCTCTCAGGCAGCCGAGTTCTGGAGGCAGGGGGAGGCCATGCCAGGGCGCAGCCTCACCCCACATGAGGAGCAGGGCCGAGGGAAGGGCCCACCCGGCCCAAGCCAAGCCCCCCGGGCACTCCACCACCCCGAAGGGGACCTGAACACTACCATCAGCCCTTCCAAGTGACCAAGATGACCATGCTTGACACCAAATGGGGCGGGGAGACCTGCCCCCCACCCTCCCATGGCAGCACCACACCCAGCCCCAGTCCAATCAGGCACACCCAATCCCTGCCAACTCAGGCAGCCAGCCTGGGAAGCACCCCTCAGTGGCCGGCCCCAGCCTAGGTGAGGGGCACCTGAAGCCATCTGCCACCCACGCTGGACTGGAAGATGTTAGGGACCATCTCAAGGGTGCCAGCCTCTTGGGCCTCCCAAAACGGGGACCCTTGCCCAATGACCCCCGGGGCACGTTGCTCCATGTTCTGGGAAGCCCACCTGTGTCTCTGCAAGCTCCTCAGTGACCCACGTGTCAAGCTATCCCTCCTCCCCACACCCCCCCCCCACACACACACACACTAGCCATCATTCCCATGCAGAGCCTTGAGGTGTGCAGGAACCTGCCGTGGGCGTCTTGGCCTCCCGGGGCACCCACCTGTCAGCACAGGTGCCATGAGCTTCAGTGTCCACCAAGGCTCTGCTCGCTCTCCTCCGCTGTTGTGAGCTCAACCTCCGCTTTCTCGGTGTAGATTTAGGCCGAATGCTGCTTGTTCTTGTGGAGACGTGTGTGTGTGTGTGTGTGTGTGTGTGTGTGTGTGTGTGTCTGTGTGTTCTTATCTGAGCAGCTGCCCCCACCCCACCCCGGAGACCCTGAGCCCAGTTCCAGGAGACGGCGGGAAGGATGGAGGAGGGCACGGCCGGTGCTCACCCCGCGTGACCTCCAGAAGGAAGAACTGGCCCAAGGACGGAGGTGGCCTGCGGCTGTCTCCACAGGAACTGTGCTCTGATGTGCCGCCTGTTGTCACTTGTGACTCAGTTTCCTTGGCTTGGCCGAGGGTCCCCTGCTGCCTTTTCAGCATCCTGGGACTGTCCCGTGCCGGCCATAGGGCAGGACCAGGCCCCAGCATGTCTGCCAGAGGGGGCGGTGTCCTGGCGTGAGGGGACATGGTCAGCGTCCATCATCCTGGCCAGAGGTTGATCGTGGCCCTCGGGAAGGGAGACTATGGCAGGAGGGCCACGGTGGTGGGGGATGCAGAGGCGCCCCGTTTGGGACCCTGAGAGGAGGGAGGCCGTGACCTATGGGCTCTACTGACCGTCAGACGTTCCCCTCTCTGTTGTCATTCCCTTATCTTCAATGGTTGCAGTACATTTTCTCTTCAATAAATTTCATTGAATGTTTCAGCCATGTCTTGCCTCTGCTCTGGGCTCTGGAAGGAACAACTTTCTACTGGAGCTGCAGGAGGGGATGGGGTTGTGAGTGGCAACATTAGTGTGGTACTGGAGTATTTCAGGGGTGTATCCAAGAGAAGTTGTGTGATCACTTGGGCGGATGGAAACTGGTGAGAGGAGCTTCCTAGAAGTGTGGCTGGTTGGGGCCACTAGAAACCTCAGGCAGCCCCCAGGAATAAAGAGGTTAGACTGTATAGTGAGGAGGGGACAGCAGGTATCCTGAGGATCCAGGATTTGTGGAAACGCTGTATGCCTTAGGACATCCACTGGGTCTGAAAGTTCAAGTGCAAATCCCATAGACAAGCCAGTCTCCGAATTGCCTGGGTATGTTGTTGGATAGACCTATCAGGAGCTGCATGCTGGTGTGTGTGGTGAAGAGATCTCTCATCCATTTACAATCAGCCTACACTTGGAAGCCAACAAGAAGCCAGGCTCCATGTAGCCTCTGAAGGATTCTTTGGACTTGGGGGTGTGTGATAGCCAAAGAATGGGCAGGCTGGGTTCCACAGACCTCACGCCATGTGTAGTGAGAGGATGAAGACCAATGGACACATATTTGTAAATTATTTAAAAATAAAAGAAAGGCCCTAATAATATCCTACACTAACATATCACACAAGAATACTGCCATCACTGCTAACAAGAAGGTTTACCCCTAATGCCAGTACGCTTCTAGCTGTAGCATCTCATATAGGGCAGGAATGTCTTGAACATGGAATGACTGTGTTTGTCTCCCAAGGATTTCCTCTCACTACACATTCCGTGAGGTCTGTGGATCCTCAGGATACCTGCTGTCCCCTCCTCACTATACAGTCTAACCTCTTTATTCCTGGGGGCTGCCTGAGGTTTCTAGTGGCCCCAACCAGCCACACTTCTAGGAAGCTCCTCTCACCAGTTTCCATCCGCCCAAGTGATCACACAACTTCTCTTGGATACACCCCTGAAATACTCCAGTACCACACTAATGTTGCCACTCACAACCCCATCCCCTCCTGCAGCTCCAGTAGAAAGTTGTTCCTTCCAGAGCCCAGAGCAGAGGCAAGACGTGGCTGAAACATTCAATGAAATTTATTGAAGAGAAAATGTACTGCAACCATTGAAGATAAGGGAATGACAACAGAGAGGGGAACGTCTGACGGTCAGTAGAGCCCATAGGTCACGGCCTCCCTCCTCTCAGGGTCCCAAACGGGGCGCCTCTGCATCCCCCACCACCGTGGCCCTCCTGCCATAGTCTCCCTTCCCGAGGGCCACGATCAACCTCTGGCCAGGATGATGGACGCTGACCATGTCCCCTCACGCCAGGACACCGCCCCCTCTGGCAGACATGCTGGGGCCTGGTCCTGCCCTATGGCCGGCACGGGACAGTCCCAGGATGCTGAAAAGGCAGCAGGGGACCCTCGGCCAAGCCAAGGAAACTGAGTCACAAGTGACAACAGGCGGCACATCAGAGCACAGTTCCTGTGGAGACAGCCGCAGGCCACCTCCGTCCTTGGGCCAGTTCTTCCTTCTGGAGGTCACGCGGGGTGAGCACCGGCCGTGCCCTCCTCCATCCTTCCCGCCGTCTCCTGGAACTGGGCTCAGGGTCTCCGGGGTGGGGTGGGGGCAGCTGCTCAGATAAGAACACACAGACACACACACACACACACACACACACACACACACACACACGTCTCCACAAGAACAAGCAGCATTCGGCCTAAATCTACACCGAGAAAGCGGAGGTTGAGCTCACAACAGCGGAGGAGAGCGAGCAGAGCCTTGGTGGACACTGAAGCTCATGGCACCTGTGCTGACAGGTGGGTGCCCCGGGAGGCCAAGACGCCCACGGCAGGTTCCTGCACACCTCAAGGCTCTGCATGGGAATGATGGCTAGTGTGTGTGTGTGTGGGGGGGGGGTGTGGGGAGGAGGGATAGCTTGACACGTGGGTCACTGAGGAGCTTGCAGAGACACAGGTGGGCTTCCCAGAACATGGAGCAACGTGCCCCGGGGGTCATTGGGCAAGGGTCCCCGTTTTGGGAGGCCCAAGAGGCTGGCACCCTTGAGATGGTCCCTAACATCTTCCAGTCCAGCGTGGGTGGCAGATGGCTTCAGGTGCCCCTCACCTAGGCTGGGGCCGGCCACTGAGGGGTGCTTCCCAGGCTGGCTGCCTGAGTTGGCAGGGATTGGGTGTGCCTGATTGGACTGGGGCTGGGTGTGGTGCTGCCATGGGAGGGTGGGGGGCAGGTCTCCCCGCCCCATTTGGTGTCAAGCATGGTCATCTTGGTCACTTGGAAGGGCTGATGGTAGTGTTCAGGTCCCCTTCGGGGTGGTGGAGTGCCCGGGGGGCTTGGCTTGGGCCGGGTGGGCCCTTCCCTCGGCCCTGCTCCTCATGTGGGGTGAGGCTGCGCCCTGGCATGGCCTCCCCCTGCCTCCAGAACTCGGCTGCCTGAGAGGAGAGGGGGCCCTTGGGCCTTCCGAGCCTATTTGCCTGAGGAGGACTTGGGGAGGCCCAGTCCCCCAGCCCCATCCTCGTTTCCTGACTCGTCTGGGATGGGCTTGAGCCCCTCCTCGAGGGGCTCCCCAGCCTCCCGGTCTCCTGACTGGGTGAGGCCCTCTGGCTCATAGCCAGGACCTCCTGGGCCCGCCCTGGAAGCAGCGCCCATCTGGGCAGGGGTGGGGCCCCCAGGGGCCTCTGAGGGTCGTGCCTGACCTAGGCCTGCAGGGACAGCATCACGGTCATCACTGTCCTCCTCCTCCCGCTCCCGTTCCCGCTCCTGCTGCTCCTGCTCCTTCTCGTCCACTTTATCATCCTCTGCCTTAGCGTCGGCTCTGGCATCAGCCTGGGCATTGGCCTGGGCGCCAGCCCCTTCCTCCGCCTGGGCTCTCTCACTCCTGGCTAGACTGGCCTCCCATGCCTCAGACTCCCGAACAAGCCCCAGCATCTCTAGGAAACTTGGAGACCTCCCAACCGTTCTCAGCTTCCTCAGAGCTTCATCCAGTGGCTCGGTGAGGTTGGCCCTGGTGAGCACCTGCCTCAGGCGCACGTGGTCAGCTGAGGCTCTGGCCAGGGCCCCCTTCTCAATGGCTTTCTGCAGCAGGACTTCCAGCCTCAACACGAAAGCAGAGAGCCGCTCTCCTGAGTGCTGCTGAGCAGTTAAACACTTCACCCGGAGTGTGGCCTGGGACTCATTGTCTCCAAACACCTGGGTCAGGGCCGCCAGGCAGTCCTGAGCGGTCCTGGCAGGGTTCTCGGCCAGGAGTCCGTGCACGAGCTGCAGGGCCGTCCCTCGAAGGCCTTCCATCAGCCGCCTCCTCTTCTCCCTTTCCGAGACCCCCTGCCACACATGTAGCATGTCGGCAGTGTGGTGTAGCCAAGCCTCAAAGGACTCCTCCCCCAGAGCGGGCTGATCCCTCCCGGAAAACACGCCCAGGCGCTGGTACCGCATGGTCTCCACCCAGGGCTGGACTGCCTGACTGACCGATCGGAGCCAGCACACCCTGCGCAGTCCCAGCCCCAGGGCCCCAGCCACCCTCTCCACCGTCTGCCCCTGTTGCTCCAGGAAGTGGAACACGCGACTGAGGAACTCCTCGCCTGAGCAACGGGGCACAAAAACCACGTTCCAGGGACCCCCAGTGCCGGGGATTTCCCTGGGGACCAACGCATAGTTGACTTCCCGGTCAAGCTCGACTAGGGCCGCGGTGGCATTATCCTCCTCCCGGAACACTTTGCCGAGCACAGTAAAGTGGCCCATGGGCCACAGGGCGGCCTCCAGGGACTCTTGGAGTTCGGCTTCATCGCAGTCCTCTGGGATGCCCAGAATGAGCAGACCCCTTCGAGCGCTGACGCCCATCCACCTGCACCAGTCCTGCAGCATCGTCACCGCCATCGCGCGCAATTTCCGCCTGCGCGGGGCTAATACTAGGGGCAGGAAACGGTTCCGTAGCAGACCAGGATGGTACTGGGCGGGTGGGGGAGAATGAATTGGGGCGGGAGCCTAGGACTCAGAGAGAACTGCCCAGGTCTCCACAGCCTGTGAATACGAACGGGGCGAGAGCCAGGTTAATGCCGACACTCCCCCTCCCACCCCCAGGTGACCCTCCTCCCCCGGGCGGCGCCTCTGCAGCCCAGGCTCGAGCCCCGCCCCGCCTTCCACCGGCCCGCAGGGGCCACGGCCCCCTCCCCAGCCGGTCCCCCTGCCCCCGCGGGCTGCCGCAGTCCCGCTGGGGCGGGCGGAGGGCGGCGGGGTTTCCCGGGGGCCAAGCCCGCACCCTCCCCGGGTCTGGTACCTTCCTCGGGTGGGGGTCCTTCCTGGTGGAGGTCCCCGCGGGAGGCGCGCAGGGGCTGCGCGGAGCGGCGGCCGGGTCGTGCGCGCCTTTTGCCCGGGGCGCTCTCTCACTCCCTCTCTTCCTTCCTCTGCCCGGCCCGTCCCTCTGTCTGCGCGGCACGTGGGCCGGCGCGCCGGCGCCTGCTCGCCACCACTCTCTGCAGTGCGGACTCGGGGCGGGGGCGCAGTGGCGGCAGAGCGCGGACCCTCCGCGTCGCCCCGGAGATCGCCCGGCCATTGGCGCGCGCGGGTCACGCGGCCGGGCTGTGGCCACCGCCGCGGGCACCCCGGGACCGCGCGTGACGTCACCTGCCCCTTCCCCCGCCCCCGAGGGGCCGCTGGCACAGGTGGGGACCCTGGGGGTCCGCGACTCGGCGTCCCAGGCCTAGACCCAAAGCCCGTCCACCGCCGCCGGCCCCTCGCGGGACGTGACCTCAGGGCATCAGCCTGGCGAGGGTTCCGCATCCCCGGGTGCCCACGGGAGAGCGGCTGGACAGGCCCGAGACGCGCCTGCCCGCGTTGCGCTCTGGCATGGGTGGGGAACAGGGTGTGTGCGTGTGGGGGGTGCGTTATGGGGGCTTCTTCGCTTGTTTTCCTCCTCCCCCACCTCCAGAACTGGTCCTGTCCCAGCTAGGCGAAAAGCACCTCGTCCAGGTGCGGTCACGTGCGGTAAATGCCACGTGCGCACAGGCTCATTCACACACTCCACCCCAATGGTGGGTCGGCAGTCCCCACGCTTGCGCAGGGGCCGAGGCCGCTCTGGGTGCACGAAGGGCCAAGGCGCATCGCTACCCCAGCGCCAGTGGCCTGTACCAAACAGGGTGACCCAGAGTCCTGGTTTGCCTGGACTTTTTCCATTTTGACTGTTTCAAGTCCACTGTCTGCAAAAGCTGCTTTCTCTGTGTAGAACCCAATACCTTGGGCCTGCCTTTTCCTGATGGTTGTAGGCAGTGTACTGTTCTGCATCCCAAGGGTCCCAGGGGCATCAGAAGGAAGGAAGGAGGGACTACCCTTCTGACAAAAGATCCAGTGGTCCTGCTTGCTCTGCCAACTACATCCTGGCTGGCCTCCAGTGGGCAGGGCTCTCCCAAGCCACACAAGGAGGAGAGTGTGGTTGATGCCCTGATGAGGTTCACTCACCCAACCAGGTCTGAAAATTCACCTTATACTGGGTGTGGCATAGAACTGCCCACTTATATTCCCACTCCACATTGTGATGATGCATTCTGTTAAGGGATATGTTCAAGGGCATGCACTTTATTGTGTATAGGTAGAGTTGAAATTGGATCCTGAATTGGTCCCCATAATCCTGAGTAGGGACGCCTGGGTGGCTCAGCAGTTGAGTGTCTGCCTTTGGCTTGGAACACAATCCCGGGGTCACTTGATGGAGTCCTGCATCCGGCTCCCTGCGTGGAGTCTGCTTCTCCCTCTGCCTATTTCTCTGCCTCTCTCTGTGTGTGTCTCTCATGAATAAATATTTTTTAAAAACCCTTTGAGTAGACTTGGGACTATTTTTCTTCTGGTTGTTTCATTCACATTAGAATTTACTTGTCTTGTTTCTGTCTACTCAAGTCCTTGTGAGGAGGAAAAATCCTCCTCATATTTACTAGACAGAAAATTGGCTCAACCTCAGACTTGTAGGTTTCCTTCTGCTCAATCATGTAGGAAATGGCAAAATTGTCTAAGATTATTTTCTCTAATACTCATGAATTATTTTCCATGGTATATGGAATGAGACTGAGGGGTGCTTGGAAAGTCTACCATGTGTGTCTTTTTTGCTATTTTGCTTTTTTGCTGTTTTTGCTTAAAAACATTTCAGAGGTTACTTAGACTCCATGTCTCTGATAAAACATTTGGTTGCCAAAAGCCAACGCCTTTCCTGGAAAGGCAATGAAATAGCCTGGTGTTCTGCAAGACTACACACTGGTCCCAGTTTTGCTACTCTGAGGACTTAATCATCTACTCAACTTAGAGAGGCAGAAAGGGAGTCTCAGAGAAGGGATACAGTAGCCCAAAGTCACACAATGAGTAAATGGCAAAGTTATGAGGCATCATGGGGAGATGCAAAGTACAGCCAAGGCCAAGGGGGGTATCCAGAATTTATCTGGGAAGAGGCAAGTAGAGTCCCAGTCAGGTGCAATGAAGCAGATCTATGGATGTCCTGGATGTCAATAAAGAAGTATTTGGGGACACAAAGGTCGAAGTGATAGATTTCAATATGTTCATTTTGAAAGCTTTTGAACACTTTTTGTGATTGGCGTTAACCTTCACTCTGGTTTTAGGGCCTCCTCAACTCTCTGCTCAAAGGACAATAAAGAATATTATCTCCTCCATTCAAATAGAAGATCTTTGTTTTTATTGTTTTTATTTTTATTTATTCATGAGAGATGGAGAGAGAGAGAGAGAGAGAGAGAGAGGCAGAGACACAGGCAGAGGGAGAAGCAGGCTACATGCAGGGCGCCCGACATGGGACTCAATCCTGGGACTCAATCCTGGGACTCCAGGACCACGCCCTGGGCCGAAGGCAGGTGCCAAACCGCTGAGCCACCCAGGGATCCCCAAATAGAAGATCTTTGAAGCCAGTAAAAAGATCTTATTTGTTTTTATGTCCCCATTGTCTTGCACGGTAGCTAGCACAAAATCACTAAAATTGAGGAACTGATAAATAAACGTTACTTATAAAGTAGAAGTGTAATATAGCATAAAGTAGGCCACCTCCACAGCGGGGGGGCCTTCTCCTGGCTTAGGCCCATAGCATCACGGTTACCTAGGTGGCAAACTCCTGAGCCCCACCTCTGGAGAGTCTGTTCTACTGGGTCTGAGACAGACCTGAAAATTTTTTTTTACAAGAGCTTCTGGTAAGTAAATACTATAAAAAATACATTCTGCAATATTTAACATACAAAAAGGCATAAAAAGTACAACCAATACTTCTATACCTAGTACCTAAGACAGAAAACACTGGCAATGAAGTTAACCTCTTGGCATATTCCTTCCCAATAGCCTCCAGCTCTCTGCCCCATAGAGGGAAGCACTGTTCTGCATTTACATTTCTTTGCATTTCCACTGCAAAAAAAGGGGAAAAAAAGATATTTAAACAACTGCTACTATTGTGTTCTCATGTTTTAGACTTTATAAAAATGGTATCATATTCTCTATATTCATCCATTTAGTTAACTAATCTTTATGTTTGTGAGAATCACCATTTTGATACATCCAAGTTTGGTTCATCAATTTTCAATTCTGTATGATATTTCATTGTGGGAGTGTGTGTGTGTGTGTGTGTGTGTGTGTACGGAAATGTATTTATTAATTTTCCCATTGACAGATATTTATTTCTCATTTTTAGCTATCACAAATAATGCTGCTCTAAATATTCTTAGAGAGTTTCACTAGGGTATGTACCTAGCAGTGGCATCGCTGGGTCAAAGACTATTTTCAATTTTAAGATACATTGTCAGTGTTCTCCAGGTTGCTATACCAATTTAAACCTCTATCAATCTCCACATCATCATCAAAATTTAATATTTTTTAAAGATTTATTTATTTGAGAGACAGAGAAAGAAAAAAATGGCTCAAGTGGGAGGAGGGGCAGAGGGAGAATCCTTGAGCAAATTCCCCGCTCAGTGGGGAGCCTGACACAGGGCTCAATCGCAGGACCCTGAGGTCATGACCTGAGCTGAAATCAAGAGTTGGCTGCTTAATTGATTGAGCCACCCAGGTGCCCCCACCAATATTTAATATTATGTGGCTTAAATGTTGCCAATTCACAGGGATGTCAATTGTTATTTCTTTGTGCTTTTATTTTGAATCTCTCTGATTATAAATGAAGTTTAATACCTTAGTTAGGGGCCCATTTCTAATTCTTTTTGTTTGAAATTCTTTTTTTAAGATTTTAATTATTATTCATGAGAGACACACAGAGAGAGAAAGGCAGAGACACAGGCAGAGGGAGAAGCAGGCTCCATGCAGGGAGCCGGATGTGGGACTTGATCCCAGGAATCCAGGATCACGCCCCAGGTCTAAGGCAGGCACTAAATCGCTGAGCCACCCAGGGATCCCTTTGTTTGAAATTCCTAACTAATTTTTCCTATTTCTTTATAGGGAAGTTTTTCCTCTTTTATGCTTTATAGAATTTCTTTATTAATCTGGAAACTTTTTCCATTTAAGTTATTTTGGCTGTGTAACCAATTACTCAAAACATACTGGCTTACAACAACCATCTTATTCGGTTCACAATTTTGTGAGTTAGGAATTGGGGGAAAGTTTGGCTGGGCAGTTCTCTCTTGGGGTTTCTCACGTAGTTGAAGATGTGAGCTGGGAATTTAATGATATGAAGGCTTAACTGGGCTGCAAACACAAGGTGGCTCACTCACATGGCTGACATCAAGTCACATTTGGGTACTCAGAGCCGATAACATTCTGATTTTTACATACACTTGGATTACAATATTCCTCTGAATCACCATTCTTGGGTCAATTAAGTTTTTGATGTGGACTATAAGAAATTTCTATAGAGGGATCCCTGGGTGGCGCAGCGGTTTGGCGCCTGCCTTTGGCCCAGGGCGCGATCCTGGAGACCCGGGATCGAATCCCACGTCGGGCTCCCGGTGCATGGAGCCTGCTTCTCCCTCTGCCTGTGTCTCTGCCTCTCTCTCTCTCTCTGTGACTATCATAAATAAATAAATAAAAAGAAATTTCTATAGAAGAATACATGGATAGACAGAAATTATTCCCATGAATTGTTTAAGATTGTTATGTGTCGAATAGTGTCCTCCTAAATTCATGGTGAAATCCTAACAACCAGTGCCTTAGAATGTGCCCTTATTTGCAAATAAGGTCATTCATCGCAGATGTAATTATTAAAAAGTTACGCAGTCATCATTTTGAATTATTATTTAATTTATAAACTTTATTTTTAGAGGAATTTTTGGTTCACAGCAAAATTGAGTGGGAAGTATAGAGATCTCCCACATACTTCTTAATCCCCCCAAAACATAACCTCCTATGCTATTGACATCTTTGCCAATTTGAATGACTTTAATGTCTTTTTGTTGTCTGATTGCTGAGGCTAGGACTT